CTGTCTGGCGATCCCATGCGCCCTATGGAAAAAAAAAAAAAAAAGATGGCTGGGTCCCACACAGCCAACTGCATGGTTCAAGTCCTGAACCCGGGGGGAAAATGGAGATGAGATTGAGATGAGGCCACCCTGGGAGGGTGCTTTCCCCTCTGTCTCTCTCCAGTGGTCACACACACCCATAACATACAAAATTAAAAACATAAAACTTCTGAGCGACCACATGAGCAGAAAATGTAGACGAACATCTTGGGGAGGGACCAGAGGAAGTCACCGAGAAAGGCTGTCCTCACTAGGGTCCTCTAACGAAGACCAACAGTCACCAGCTTCAGCCCAGGCTTCCTGCAGCAAAGCCCACGACACTAGGGACCTCCAGGTTTAAAGAAAGTGCTAGACGTGGGGACCAGCAAAATAGCATAATGGTTACGTCACTGGACTCCCACGTAGTCGACCGCACTTCAAGTCCCAGACCCAGCAGTTTAAACATGCCCAGGGCATGTGCGTGCGTGCCCAAAATCATGAGGGGAGAATGGAGGAGAAGGGATTGTGACGTGGCCATCCCCCCGGGGGGGGATTTCTCACTCTCTGTCTCTGTCTCTCCAGCGAGCGCACATGCTCTAGAGCAAAAAATCTCTCTCTAAAAAAGAAAAGAGAAGAAAGTGCTAGACCTGGAACTTCCCTTAGGGAGAGAAAGAATCTCCCCCGTGGTCAGTCTGTTCCTTTTCTTGTGGCGAGAATCCACGCAGTGGAGAGGATGAACCACGGGGCGCATGCTCTGGGTTAGTGCTGGAAACGGCTCAGCTGGGAGGAGGTAGGGCTTACGTCACTTGTTTCGTGAAGGAACTTCTTAGGTTTTTTTCATAAACTAATTACTGTCAACGCTAATGTAATCTGGCAAAAAAAAAGAAAGTACATGACTGACTCTTACAGTTTTCTTTTGTTTGTTTGTTTGTTTGTTTTTGAGAGATTTTCACTATAGGGCACGTGTGCTCGCCAGACAGACAGAGACAGAGAGACAGAAAGCGAGAAATCACCCCCGGGGGGGATGGCCACGCCGCAATCCCTTCTCCTCCATTCTCCTCTCGGGATCTTGGGCACACACGCACATGTGCCTGGTGTGAGTTTTAAGCCACCGGGTCCGGGATGCAAACCGCGGTCGACTATGTGGGAGTCCAGCGACATAGCCAGTACGCTAACTGCTGGTTCCCACTGACTCTTACAGTTTTCAAACCGTGAGAATATGTCTCCTGTTTTTTAAAATTCTTCGTAAGAATGTACAGTTTGCTGTAGGTCGTGTTCAGCCATTTCATTGTGGAAGTGGTTGTAAACCCGGAGCCTCGCTCACTCCGGGTATGCAGCAGGTGCTCGATTAGTGCTCCTGGAAGGAAGACCTGAACGAACCCCTCATCCTGGCACCCAGAGGTCCATGCCCAGACCAGGGCCCGACATGCCTGGGGAGATGGAAAGGGGTGAGCCTGCCTCAGGTCCCAGTGGAGAGTTCCAGACTCCAGGGACCTGGGGCGTGGGCCTGCCGAGGCTGCTTTCCTGGGCCTGACGGGGCAGGCGTTGGATGAGACCCATCACTTGGGTTAAGATACAAGGGGACCTCAGAAGTTCGTGCAAAAATGAAGTATGAGTTTATTTTGGTGCAAAATTTTAAAAAATTGAAATTCACACACAGTCATCTCATCATGTGCCTTTGCCATAAACTTTCGAAGTATGGTCCCCGGGATGTACAGCTGTCCCTGATGGCCAGGCACCCACACACAGCAGGCAGACGCCCTGCAGCTGGAAGCAGTGACCCCTGAACCCATCCGCTCATCCCCCTCTTCCTCTGGGACCTAGGAGCACAGTCCCAAGATCGGAGGGTATGCCACAACAGTAAGCCAGCTGTGGTGGTGTGGGCCATAGTCCCAGATACTGAGGCAGGAGGATCGCAAGTTCAAGGCCAGCCCAAACAACATAGGCAGACGCTTTTTCTAAGGGAAAAAAACAAACAAACAAAAAAAAAAACCTGCAATGGAAAAAGACAAAAATATTTACAAAATATATAGTAGGCAAAGGGTTAATAAACCTCTTAAGAAATATTTAGGGACAGGGGCAGGAGATGGCATAACGGCCATCTTTGTTATATTGCTGGACTCCCACATGGCCAACCATAGTTCAAGACCCACCTAGACCGGTGGCTTAAAAATCATACCAGGCATGTGTGCGTGCGTGCCCAAGATCCCAGAAGAATGGAAGAAAAGGGATTGCAGCGTGGCCATCCCCCCTGGGGGTGATTTCTTGTTTTCCCTCTCACTGTCTCTTTCTCTCCAACAAGCACATGCACCCTAAGGCAA